AGGGTGGGTGCAAGTCAGGAGAGGGAGGGAGGAGTAATCGTCGTCATCCTCATCGATTTCATCGCTGCTGTCCTCATTGATGTCTTGGTCCTCATTTTTCAGCCGGGTAATCGTCTTCTTCAGCCCAATCTGCATTTCCAGTTTTTGCTTTCTGGGTTTTTGCAAAACGCGGTCATTTTCAGCTTCCATGGGCTTTCGTGAAGCGGTTGGTCTCGGAGGCCAAACAGTTCCGCCATAACAAGAGCTCTGTTTTGAGCTCCTCCACCTCCCCTGTTCTCTACGCACCGTCGAGCCGGGTAAATGTCTTGGTCCTTATCGATTTCGTCGCTGCTGTCCTCATTGGGTCAGGAGGGATAATCTGCTGTGGGTCTACCTCCTCGTCACTTTCCTCCTCTTTAATTCTTAAATGGCAGAAGAGGAGCTCGTTAATAGTGACAAGAAAAACATGGCTGCAAGTGTTGAAAAACCGAGCCAGCTGCTACCCAAAGGTGACGATGGTCATAGTGATGAGGTTGATCTAGATGAAGAGGACGATGAGGTCGCCGCATTGGAATCGGAAAAGGATCAGTTGGTTTTTGGCCTTCAGTTTTCTCTCAAGGAGCAGATCGAGAAAATAAAAAAGAAAAGAGAAAAGTGAGAAACAGAAACAAAAGCAAAAGCTAAAAGAGAAAGGAAATGATTATATTTTTGCTTTTGTCCACCACTAAATGATGCATGTTCCTATTTTTTGAAAGCCAGAGAAAAGCAAATGGGTGATGTCGGAAAGGCTATCCAAAGCAGCTGTCATTTCAGAGAAAACACAAAAAGCAAAAGAAAGGTGCGGTGGAAAAGAGAAAAGCAAAAGCAAGGAATAAACACCCCACCAGAATGATGTAATTTATTTTTATTATCTTTCGGAGACATCTGTATAAACCCCATCAGAGGGTAATATGTATAAACCCCATCAGAGGGTAACTAAAAAAAAAAAAAAAAACAGCAAAGCCCAAAACAAATGGGCTGGCATGTTGTAGAGGGCGAAGGCCCATAAGCCCGAAATAGCACCAACCAGGTGATCAAAAGTACGCCCAGTACTCCACAATTATTCGGCAACCCGCCGCTATTACCACCAATCAGGTGATCAAAAGTACGCTCAGTACTTCAAAATTATTCGGCAACCTGCCGCTTTTACCACCAACCAGGTGATGAAATGTACAGCCCGTACTCTAATATCATTTGGCAACTAGCCATTCATACCACCAACCAGGTGACGAAATGTACAACTCGTACTCTCCTTTATGCCACCAACCAGGTGATCAGAAGTACGCCCAATACTCCAAATTATACATGAGCATTACTCATGTCATTCATACATAAACATTCATGAGCATCACTCATGACAATCATACATAAACATTCATGACCATCATTCATGTCAACATTCATGAGCATCACTCATGTTAACATTCATGAGCATCACTCATGACAACATCCATGAGCATCACTCATGTCAATCAACATAAACATTCATGAGCATCACTCATGTTAACATTCATGAGCATCACTCATGACAACATCCATGAGCATCACTCATGTCAATCAACATAAACATTCATGAGCATCATTCATGTCAATCAGCTTCAAAAGCTTCATTTATAGAGCTCTAGCTTCAAAAACATCATTTACAGAGCCCTAGCTTTAAAGCTTCACTTGCAAAGCTTCACCTACAAAGTTTCAGTGCAGGGTATACAAATACCACCTCCGAACAACCACCACTTCGGCCCATACATGGATTCAATTTGAAGTCTCCAGCCAACAAACTCTATTGACCGAAGACTTGGGGGACTACATTATGTACCATTTATTGGGCCTCAACTGGGCCTCATGAAAAATACTTGGAGGACTTGGCCCATTACTTATGTATTGAGGAGCGAGCCTTTATTCTATAAAAGGGACTCCCTCACCATCATTAGAGAGCATCGTCGCCTACTGAGCAACCGCCTCGCCGCGAACATGAACTCTAGCCCATCATTTATGTATTGAGGAACGAGCCCTTATTCTATAAAAGGGACTCCCTCACCATCATTAGAGAGCATCAACTCTAACCCATCATTCATGTATTGAGGAGCGAGTCCTTATTCTATAAAAAGGACTCCCTTACCTTCAAACGCCACAAGCCGAGTCAACCAAGGCAACATAAGCCACGAGCCAAGCAGCCTCGCAGCGTGTGCTACTTCTAGTTGAGCGTCATTTCAGATTGAGCACTGACTTATATCGAACATCGGTTCAAGACAGCATCTAGTTACTTCGGCCCACACATGGACTGAATTTCAAGTCTCTAGCCAACAGACTCTCTTGACTGAAGACTTGGCGGACTACTGTTTATACCATGTTTAGGGTCTCGTATTTAGACCTTGTATAAATACTCGGGGGACTTAAATGTAATTATGTAATTAAGGAAGGGGAAAATATGTAATTAGAGGAGGAGCCCTTATTCTATAAAAGGGCCTCCTCACCCTCACAAACCCGAAGCCTCTCCTATCTAGAGCAAAGCTCTCACATTTTCTCCCTCACTTCTCAGATAAATACAATACAATTAGTGTGAACGTAGCCTAAACCTTGGGGTGAACCACGATACATCTTGTGTCATTTACATTACTTGCAGATTCACGGTCGGATTTACGTTGTTCCAAGACCTTCGGTTTTGTGCATCAACAAAGGTGTAAAAAATGAATATGAATGAACCTTTAGCTACTGCATGTAGATTCAGTTTTCCTTTGCATTTCAGTGAGTTGGAAACTGAGTGGAACTGTTTGAGAGAGAGAAAGAGAAAGGATGATGTTTGGATTTTGGTATATGCAGCCCTACTGTAACTTTTTATACACACTGAATACACTTACCTTTTGTTATATGCACACATAGATTGCATACGCATACAATACACACACACACACACACACATCACACACTTATCCACATAGAGTACACACACATTTTATATGCATTCACAGTACATGCACATGCAATGTCACACAAACACTATCATGTACTTATACACACACAACACATACAATATATACTCACACGCTTATGCCTTTTTTTATCACTTGGAAGATTTTTTTGTTTTTCCTTAGCAATACAATATACACTCACACACTTATGCAGCACAAGCACTCACACACACAGTACACACATTGTTGTTTTTCCTTATTTGGTTATTGGGATGCCAAACTTTAAGAATTTGTGTTTAATTTGATTCTTTGGTATACTCAGTTAATTAGCTAAGTAGTGGTTTACATTTAGATAATATATATATATATATATATATATGTATATATATGATTTTGGACTGTAGTTTTTCTCTAACTTAATTTGTTTTGATTCAATGGGTTAGTGAGTTAAGGTTGTTCTTAACTTTCTGTTTCCTGATTGAATTTGTTTTGATTCAATTGGGTTAGTGAGCTAAATTTCAAAAGGGGGGGGGGGTTTGGTTTCCGAATGCCTCTTATGGGTTGTGCATGAGGCTAGAGGATTTGAACTAAACCACGCAATGGACATTCATAATAATGTGCAAGTAGGTATTGCATATACGCTTAATGGTTTGCATTGCTTGCTGTTTTTGCATAATGGTTTCAATATGTGCTTAGGTTGGTTTAAAACCCAGGTTCTGTGAGTATAGCGGTTTAATTGGGGGAATGAAAAATTAAAGTTGGCCTTTCATTGAAGATGGTTAAACAATTGGAGTTTGTTTTATTAGAAAGATGGTTAAACAATTTTGGCTGTTCCCTTTTTCACTGTGGCTCTGTTTCAACCATTACATTTCATACATTTGAAATTTGTTTACTATCTCATTAATTGGTGTACGTTAGCTCATTAACTCAAATTTAATGAGATTTGGTCCTCCAATTTGTCTGATTTCCTAACGGATTTACTTTCTGGAAATTTCAGGAACCCTGATTATGGGAGGAAGAATACGCTTCATTGCCATCTTTAGGTATACAATTTTGCACACTGATTACATGTTCAAAGCCTAATTAATTGTACACCAATTTTTTATTACTTTTGTAAAGCTTTTGTACTTAGATTTAAATATGTGATTAGTTTGTGAAGAATAAACGAGAAAACTAATCATGGGGACATACTTCTTTTTCGATTTTCTCCGCTGCATGGTTTCTTGAATGAAATTGGATTCATGGATGTAGGGATACAGCAACGACTGAGGTGTGAATAAAAGGTCTAGGCGTAACGATTTCAAGGTTTAGAATTGATTCGAAAATGCGAGAAAATGCTGCATTCTCTGTTCTTTTTTGCTGTTTGCTGTAGTGATTCCAACTTAGTATATACCCATTTTTAGAGAACCATGAATGGTGGTTGTTAAATGTTGAGCCATTTGACAATCCTTAGTTCTGCATTCCTTGATTTTTTTTTGCTGTTTCAAGTTTGAACAACCTTTCATGTTCTTTTCTGATGGTTTATAATTGTATATTTGCAAAGATGCATGGCTATTAGACCTTCAATTAGAGATCATCATGATTGCATTGTCATAAGACTAAAGCTGTACAATTACTATTTGCTAAATATTACTTCTGTCATTTAATTGAGGTTCGTGTAGAAGAGGACTCAGGCATGTTGTTAGTGTAGATTTACATTTCTTATTACTTTCGTGTAGTATTTGATTGTAAGTCATGAACAAGCCAATGTTTTTCAAACTTTACAGATGCCTATGTTCACATATGAATTCTTTTCAAAAAAAAAAAAAAAAATGTTCACATATGAATAATTTGGCTTATGGACATTAATGTTGTAAGCATATATGGTAATTGTTCAATCTATGGAATATCTATTTAAGGTCTCATTGGTTTAACATTATCAAAACTTCTGCATATGTCTGAAGTTTAATGAATGCTTATATATACATATAAGATCTGAAACCGATGGAATTGTTTTCTTATTTAGTAACCACCGTGTATATATATATATATATATATATATATATATACACACATATGTATGTATATGTATATGTATACGTATGTGTGTATGCATATGCGTATGTGTATGTGTATTCCAATAAACTTGCTTATATCTTTGGAAATATGTACGTACCAACTGTCAAAGCATGTATATACTGGTGTCCAAGTTGAGCACAACAATGACACTCCATTCTATTCAATCTCAGTTATTGATACAGCGTTTGATGATCTAATTCACCTATTTTCTCTATTGCGATTTTGTCTTATATCTCTTGGTTAACATTAAAATTTGGATGGGGGAAAATGGTTTGTGGTTAGATGGGTATTTATTAACCCATAGTGCTCAACCACATAAGTTAGACCTTTTAGTTACTTTATTTTGCTCTAATCCTGTCAATTTTTTGGCTGACATTTCACGTAATTAAAGGTTTATATTTCCCACTAGGAAGTATCTGGGAAAAGAAAAGGGGAAGGAAACAAGAGCCGAAGTAAGGGCTGTTTTCTTTTCTTTTAAATTGTTTAACGTTTATGCTTTTTATTTGTCGAGTTCGTAATTTAGTTCATTTATACCGTGTTTTTGGCATGGTTTATTCTTTTAAGTGCCGGTTACCCTATAGCCGTTATAATTTAGGTCTTTAGTTGTTTGATAGAAAATCGCTTTGATCTACTATTCATAGCTTACCACATGTGGTAGCAGAGTGATTGCGTTAGTAGCTTATGTATACAAGTGAATTCAGATGACACAATGAGTTAGATATTCGAAAAAACGTCTGTTCATTTTTTGAATTTATAAAAACTGTCGAATCAATTTGAGTATGTAATTTTATGTTAATTGTTAGGTAAATTGTTGTTTTTTTTTCGCTGATAAGAAGTATAGAGTTTGGCTGTGTAAATGTGTGTAGTTTTATACATTTCGCTTGGTTGACAATTTGATAATGGCTGAAGTGCATTCTTTAATCAAATGTGTTTTCTTTCCTCGATCGTAAATGTCTTTTTGGTATTTTGCAGATCAAAACAAAGTGAAAGCTTTTGACTAAATTTTGCAACTGCTACTTTGCTGCTTTGGTAAAGTCTCAACTTCTTGATAATATCAATTAATTTTGGCTGTAATGTTAGGGTATTGAGTTGAATGCATATGCTACATGGCATAGGTCTAACATGATTAGAACTTTAATATCATGATGTGTGATGCTAATTAAGCACAATATGAGTATCTGTACCAAGAAAGACATGAGCATCTAACGGATTTACTTTCTTTGCAATTTCAATTTGGGAATTGAATTTATTTACAAAATTACGATCCTTTTTAAAATTTAGAAAAGAGCATGTTAAAAGACCAATTTTCTTTACAAAAACTTGAATTCAAAGTAGACCATCAGTGAAAACGAACCAACAACGATTATGGTAATTTAGTAAATTAAACATAAACCATCTTTGAGAGTCATACTCCCATTGTCGGTTTTCCTTGCGAGCATATTTCCTACCCAAAGTTTCCCAAACTGTGTTCTCAAACTGCTGCATCGGCATATCTTTCCAACTTCTAATAGTGTTTGGTCCCCATACTTTCCACAATTAGTTTTGGATCTTAATAATAGCTGCTATATTGCTTGCAATTGTCAATGATTTAAGTTTTTCGTTTTCTTTTCTTTTTGGAAAGCATGAGTGTGAAGTTTTATCAGAGTTTGACAAACAAATATATATTGAATATTTCAAATAGACTTTAAATTTATCCCATAGAATTTCTCCTTTTCTTTTTATGATTGTTGTTGCCATGCCGAGAAAAAAAAAATTATATTAATGGCTGTTCATTTACCTCTGTAGTATTTCATACTTATTCTGATCTCCACTGGTTCTTTAAATGGTGTGGTTTTTCAATCAGTTAACATTTTTTAAAACGGGAGTTTTAACAAAACACTCCCGGTACTATTCATTTTGAACGAAAAACCACTTTTTTTACCTTTAGCTGACACAATTCACTATACCTTTAAAAATGACTTTTCATTAAAAGAGAAGTTTTTTTGGACTTTTCATTAGTTTTCCTTTTTTAAAATTCAAACAACATTATGGTTCTAAGTGTATTCATTTGGCTAGCGTCGGCTAAATCCTCTCGAAATTTGGTTTAGTCAGTACATGTTTGTATAATATTTTGATAGAAAATGTGTTATATTCTCTTTGTATTTGGTTTGCAAAGGGAGGGCAACATTTTTCGGGCTTTGGATATTAAAGACTAAAGATGGTTTTACTTTGTTAATTAGTTTAATTAGCATGTGGTTTGGTGGGGTCTGGTACGTATGATTGAACTAAAGTGTGACAGAAGAAACTGTGAATAGTGATTGGTAAATATTTCGCATTTTTTTCTATGGGCCATTTGTGTTCTATTTGGGTTGTATTTTGAGTCATGTAATTTAAATTGCATACAAAGGGCTAAAGAAGTAAATCCAGTATACAGGCTCTCGCGGTAAAGTTTAAGTTGAAGCTACACTATGGAATGTTAAATATTTAGTTGAAATCTGAAGACTGAAAAATAAAATAACTTAGAAGCTAAACTGAGTAGAGTTAAGTTTTTAGCCTCAAATATCCTTAGGCGGACACAAAATTTTGACCCCGACATCCAAGATTTTGATCCCAACAGCGTGGATAAACATGCTGTCAGACGACTGATTCCAAAACACATTTTAACAGCTTTATCTGGCTGATAATTCAGAACATTATCAAGTATAAATGACTGGTTGTCAGTTAAACCCTTATGAGATTTACCCTTTGTTTGTTGCACTTTTGCAAATTTAATCCGTTCCACCATCACAGTTTTTTTTACTTTTACAGTTTCCGGAATGCATTTTCGATCTTAATACTATCTGCTCTGTTGCTTGCAGTGATCAATTTTTAAAACTTGAAACAACATTATAGTTCTAAGGAAAATTTGGGAAGACCAAGGATGTAACCATCTTCAGTTTCACATTGTTCGCCATTAGATTTCCTAATATAAGTATTTTTTACATGATCTTACTGGTGAATTGTTAAACGGTACAAAGAGAGAAAACAGCATGCAATTTTATAAACTAAACTTTACATGCATTCTCTTTAGTATGGGGTATCCGAGAAAATAGGTTGAAGGATTAGGTTTGGTTGGATTTCAACCATTACATTTCATAGATTTGAAATCTGTTTACTTTCTCATTTAATTCGTGTACGTTAACTCATTTAACTCAAATTTAATGAGATTTGGTCCTCCAATTTCTCGGATTTCCTAACGGATTTACATTCTTTGGAAATTTCAGGAACCCTGATTCTGGGAGGAACAATACGCTTCATTGCCTTCTTTAGGTATACAATTCTGCACACTGATTATATGTTCAAAGCCTAATTAGTTATACACCATTTTTTATTACCTTTGCAAAGCTTTTGTACTTAGATTTTAGATATGTGATTAGTTTGTGAAGAATAGACGAGAAAACTAATCATGGGGACATACTTCTTTTTCGATTTTCTCATCTGCATTGTTTCTTGAATGAAATTGGATTCATAGATGTAGGGATACAACAACGACTGAGGTGTGAATAAAAGGTCTAGGCGTAACGATTTCAGGGTTTATAATTGATTCGAAAATATGAGAAAATGCTGCATTCTCTGTTTTTCTTTTGCTATTTGCTGTAGTGATTCCAACTTAGTATATACCCATTTTTATAGAACCATGAATGGTGGTTGTTAAATGTTGAACCATTTGACAATCCTTAGTTCTGCATTCCTTCAATTTTTTTTTTGCTGTCTGCTGTTGTCATTCCAACTTAGTTTATACTTATTTTCATAGAACCATAAATGCTGGTTGTTAAATGCAGTCCAAATGTTCTATTCTAACTCAAAACCATCCTCTTCCAAAAATGAACAATCTCATTGATTTTCACTAAACGTACTCCACAGTAAACCATTATTTACTCTATTTAGCCTATTCCTTCTAAAACCAACGTTCTCACACTCTAACCCCTGTACTAATTAAGAACCGCCTGCGATACCTCATCCTTACTTTAGGCCTTTAAATTAATATGGTGACAGAAGATGCATTCCCGTTGTTAGCAGCTTTTCTTTCGTTAAATATAAATTTGTCGTACATTAAGTCCATTGAACTGTCCCAGTTAGAGTCCATTGCACTGTCGCAAATTGTGTTACTATTCCTGTATCCATTTGTTTGCGCATCGAATTCTAACTCTCAGTCTCACTGATTTGTTGTAGTTTAGATCAAGGTCTTATTGCAATGTTGTGATCTGCTCTTCTTGCTGCCTTTATCTAGGAATCCGCATCTATTGCATTTGAATCAAGGATTTGGTATGTCACCTAAACTAATATACATTGTTTCCCTGTGCTTTCCGTTTGAGTTAATGCAAATTTATCATGTTTAAGTCGATTGTTTGGTTTTATCAGCTTATGTCATTCGTTTGCTACCTGCTTTGTTTCTCATTCTTGGTTATCTCTGTAATCTTTTGATACTTCACAAGTTCATTGGTTTCTTTGTTTTTGTTGGTTTTAAATTGGTCTCAACCATTCTATTATTGTTCAAAGGTGCATTGGCGTCATCTGTGATTTTGCTTTAACTAGTTGTTCCTAATTCTTAGTCGAATGTTGTTAGTCATTTTATATATTTTTTTTGTCAATTGCTTTCTTTCTTTGTTGCGTTTTCAATTTCCAAACCATTCTTCAGACGTTAGTTACTTTGCTTGGTTGGTGTTTTCGTTAGGTTTTCCTAAGAGTCAACCATCTCATCCCTCCCAAAGTACATTAATAAGTGCTGTTAATAACTACGCTCTCCGAACAAACCTAAGTTATTTCCAAAAAACTCACAGCTTCTATATTTGAGTTTTAAATTTTTTTGACACAGTTACAGTTATTTTAAGATCTACAAGCTAAACACATTTTTCTTTCTAAATACATAAATATTAATGTTGTATTTAATTTGTTATTCAGGGTTAATAAAATGGTGAAAGAGATTGATCGAAGCGAATAACAAATTCTAGAAGGCGATTTGGTAAAAAAATTTAAGGGAACTGATTAAGGCTCGAAACGATGAAAAGAATGAAGGAACGATAGTGAAATGTTTCGATACTGCCCCAGGACCCAGTACAAAGAAATCAGTGAAAATAGAAAAAACAAGGTTCGGTTTGCGTGTTTATGGTAAGGGCCCAAACCGAAACAAATTGGTGGTGCACACTCTCTACTCACCTTATATATCCCTTTGTCATTCATTATTATGTTGAATTTATTTAGATAAATGTTTCTTATTCATCCAATTACGATTAGTACACTGATTTCCCGCAGTATAGCGCGGGCTTATTTTCTAGTAAACTCTAAGTGTTAGTGAATCTATCGTTTTGATGGGATACGCATCCTTCGAAACTAATTTCAACTATCGAACTGTCAAACTTGTTTATATATGCTTCGAGATCGCATACTCCAAAATTGCAAAAAACAAACATTCAGAGATCAAGCAACGAGACAAAACTTTTCAACGGTTATCAAGGAAAAATCACGATTTAACGGTGATTTTAACTCCGATTTTGATGATTTTTTACAGCTACACTCTTTGACCCTATATGAATACAATGAATGAATTCGATCTTTAATTTAAAATATTTACACTAGTGGATACCACAAAATCTTATATTATATTTACTGAAAGTATAAATAAATTATAAGTGTTAGTAAATCTATTGTTTTGATGAGATACACATTCTATGAAACTAATTTCAATGATCCAACCATCAAACTTGTTTATATATGCTTCCAGGTCGCATACGCCAAAAATGACAAAAAACAAACATTTAGAGATTAAGTAACAGGACAAAACTTTTCGACGGTTATAAATGAAAAATCACGATTTAACGGTTATTTAAATCCGATTTAGATGATTTTTAGTAGCTACACTCCTTGACCCTATATGAATACAATGAATGAATTCGATCTTCAATTTAAAATATTTACACTAGTGGATACCACAAAATCTTATGTTATATTTAATGAAAGTATAAATAAATTCTAAGTGTTAGTAAATCTATCATTTTGACATAGATATTTAAAAAAAACTAAAATCTATGTCATTTAGAACCGACGCAGACTTTAAAATATTTAAAAACAATACTTTGTGTCGCTTAAAAGCGACACCAATGCTTTATGTCGCTTAAAAGCGACACTGTTTTGTTTAAAGCGACGCTAGTATTTAAAATTATTAAAATATATGTCAGTTATAAGCGACATTAAATGTTTACGTCGGTTTAAAAGCGACGTAGACATTTTATGACGCTTATAAGCGACAGTAAATCCTACGTCATCTTCAGTTAGTGTCGCAACTGTCTTATCTGCCACTATATTATATTAAACCGACGCCACTTACTGACACTATAAGGCCCTTTTGTAGTAGTGTGTGTAAAGCTAATGAATTCTCAATGTTGATTGGATGTTTGGGTAGTTAAACATCACTGGAAATATGTGATCCTTTCCCTTTTTCATTTTTCCTTTGGTTTGGATTTTAGGAAGATGATTGCATAATCCACCGAGCTGGGAAAAAGGGTAAAATCAGTTATGGGTGGCTATATGTAGGAATGCATGGATGCATTGATAGGATAATCTCATTATTTTGTTGGTCTTTTATCTTGAACATGTTCTTTATGAGTGTAGTTTCATTATAGACATTCCATTTCTACTATTGGATTGCTTTTTACAGCCGAGATTGCCATCTTTGATTTTATGAAAATTTTAAATTTTTGGTTTTATTTCAAAATTTTACATTTCTATTTTTTTTTAAATAGAACCTATTGGGCACAATAACAAAAATAGTGCAAACATGGATGGAGAAGGTCATCTGACAAGTTTGTCAGAACATAGACACACAAATGCCTTTATTGTGCTTGCCTCTTTGAGCACCAAACAGTTTATTGTGCCCTTTTAGCAATGGTGATGCCTATAGAGGGCAATTATACAAATATAGTTGTTGCACTGTTGCTATTGGTCTATGGGTACATATGTTGGTGCTTTTTGGCCTTAAAGGGCACATATAATTTATTGTGCGCAGTGCTCAAATTTTGTGTAGTGATCATTTTATCATACAAACGTCATAATCACAGCCGTTCATTCTCTTTGATAATCATTATCTAAAGATCATATTTAGAAAAAATCATTCAATTTGAAGACTGTTAGCATCCATATAGATCATACAAATTGACCGTTTATCATAAGTACATTGCTTAATTATCACCATAACCATTGATTTGTTCGACACTTATGAATGACTAAACGGTCTTTAAATTGAATGACTTTTTCTAGATATGATAATGAAGGGTTCTGGTTATGATGTTTATATGTAAGACTATATTAGAGCTGCACACTTGTATGTAACGTCTCTTATAGATTAAGGATTGCAGAGATTGATTTTAATAATACTTGTACGCTAATGAGAAGAGTGTATTACTAGGTTTTTATAACTATAGAAGTCCTAATACGATTAGTAAACCTAATTAGATATGAATCTAAACTTTAGGTGATAAAGTCTTGTTTGAGCAGAATTACATGATGGGAAGTTCCCTACTCGGATTCTACCTCTATTATTATATAACAAGGGTCACTGCTCTCACATTCGGCACCCAGAAATAACCCTTCTAGCCCCATTGAATAGAGTTGTGATAAGATGAGTGAAAGAGAGTAGAAGATAATTTGTTTTTGCTATGGAGTTGTCACGATACAAAGAGAGATGTAGATACTCAAAAGATTGTTCAACGGATCACGGTTCTAATCCAAATAAGGGTTTTTAGTTGATTATGAATTTCATTCTTACACTATACAATGAAATGTTTCCACGTTTCCATTAAAGAAAGAAAGCATTACATGGAAGAGCCAAAAATGTCATAATAAATTGTATGTATGTGTCTCAATATAAAAAAAATATATAAAAACAAAAATTAAAAAGAAACTTTCCAAAACTTTTCGCTGATGTTGGGTTAGGCAAGATAGTGTGCATTCCCTTTTAGACTCAAATTTATTGTTTGGAGATTAGAGCAGTTCAAACTATTGTTTTTCGAAACTAAAAAAAATATTGTCTCTCCCTTTCACAACATACCGGACATTTGGTTAATTTTAATTCTTGTGAATGTAAAAAAAATAAAAATAAAGACATAAGGAGATGAAAGTCCGAATTCAACTGCGAGAGGGTGATTCAAAACTTGCAAACGAAGAGAGATGATTCATCTCACTTTAAATAAATAAATATAGTCGGATTGGATAAAACCATCGATTACGTGTCGTCCTATGTGTCAAGCTAATTGTTGAATTGGCTTTTGGGGCCATGGACCATTTGGTTGACGCAACAGTAATATGGGTGACGTTTTTTTTTTTTCTGTTGTTTGAATTGAACGAGTAAATAAGGCGGCAGGATGACATGAATAATAAAACCAGTTCAATTATATATTCCCGCATATATGCATATGCGGATATGGGGATATGTATAAATTTTGGAGGGACCACTACTTGGCCACTAGTGGTCATGAATAACAGGTCAATATTGCATGCGCAGGATATGCAACTAGCACGAAGAACTCTTCATGTTTATATCCTGTACGGAAGAGCCTCAAGGATTATGATCATGGAAGCTAGCTAAATTAATAAGTTTTGTTTTACGTTTTGAAATTCTCACATATATAAGACTAGTATACATTAGTCCGACTTTTATAATTAGAGAAATATTTTTGGGACTTCAGTCAAATAAAATAAGGAGAATTAGTAGACAGAAATAAACAGGGTGTGCAAAAGAAGAAAAAGCCGTATGCAAAATTCATTCCCTATATTTAAGTATGATTCAAACTCAGTTAATTGGCCTCTAAATTTCTGGATTAATTAGGGAGCTGGGCTGAGTTGGAGGATGAGCTTAAAGCCTTCAGCATGAGTTTAATATGTTAGTGACCATGTTGGAAATGAACTATCTAAAGGGAGAGGTTCATTCCTGGAAAATCATGGTATATACGTATTCGCGCAAGCAAGCTACCAAGCTAAAGTCTATAAATACCAACTACTCTCAAGGAGAAATCACAATCAAATTAAGAACTCTAGCTCATCAATTGTTCAGGCTCTATCTCCCTCTCCCTTTCTCAAACCTTCTAATGGAAATAACCAGTAGAAAGCTCATCACAGTTCTCAGCATCGACGGCGGCGGGATAAGAGGCCTTATTCCAGCCACCATCCTCGGTTTTCTTGAATCTGAACTTCAGGTAATGTGATTAACAATATTATGTTAACTTTGTTGGTCATGTACTTATCTCCAACTTTGTCCGAAGAGGTCTCAAGTTCCCCTCCCGGATAAGGTTAATTTTGCAAATATGTGAATGCATACACACCATGTCATTCCACATTTGCGTGTAACAAAATTATAGTTACATATAGTTTAATCAACGTCCGTCATGCGTAATACACTAGTTAGTACGTAGTTCAGTGTCATGTATTATCAAGTAGTTGGTAGGTGTCAGGTTTCCATGTGCCTCAGGTCCTAAAACTTCTTCTTTCCTAAAGTATTGTAATAGTTTCGAATTATTCTCCTCCCCTCAATAATAATAATAATTTAAAAATAAAAAAAGTATTAAATTGAGATTAATGTTTGCAGAAGCTGGACGGTGAGGATGCAAGAATTGCCGACTACTTCGATGTGATCGCAGGAACAAGCACTGGTGGTCTTGTGACAGCCATGCTCACAACCCCAAACGAGAATGACCGCCCACTGTTTGCTGCCGAAGATATTAAGGACTTTTACCTAAGTGAATGCCCTAAAATCTTCCCCCAAAAGATGTAATGCTTTTACAACAAGTTAAATTTCAAATTTGTGGATTACATGTTAAATTTCAAATTTATTATTTTGTTACTATATTGCTATTGTATATGGTTAAGATTCTTTATAGTCAATATATTACTTCTGTTTACAGTTGGCTTCCGTATACAAGAAAGATTATGAAAGCTCTAACAGGACCAAAATACGACGGTAAGTATCTACATGGCTTGATCAGGCAAAAATTAGGCAACAACAAGTTGCACAACACATTGACTAATGTTGTCATTCCCACATTCGACATTCGGAATCTCCAGCCAGTTGTCTTCTCTAGCCTTAGGGTTTGTACTTGATCACCTTCTTCTATCTGGAAATTTCACTTCTTCATCATCTCCAAAGAAATAGTTAAGAAAATTACTTAAAAATATGTAGTTGATATCTAATACGCATGGGCATTTATGTGGTTTTTTACCAGGTGGAAAAGAAGCCGTGCACCGATGCCTTACTCTCCGACATATGCATTGCAACCTCAGCAGCACCAACTTACCTTCCAGCTCATTATTTTGAAACCAAGTATGCTGCAGGAACAGTTAGAGAATATAACCTTATAGATGGCGGCGTGGCTGCAAATAATCCGGTAAATATTATAACACGATTCAAACCCCTGTTTTCTGTTATATTATTTTTATTATAGATTGCAGACAAGAGAATGTTGTACTGTATATCTAAGATTTCATTTATAATAAACTTGGTTTAATTAGAAAATGGCTTAAACATTTTTTTTACCTTGCAGACATTTGTTGCTATTTGTGAAGTGATGAACGAAATAGAGAAGGAGAATTCAGATATCGTTCCTGTAAAACTCATGGACTATGGACGATTTCTAGTAATATCATTAGGAACTGGCTCATCAAAAGCTGAACGGAAATACCATGCACCTGCTGCAGCCAAATGGGGCCTCTTGAATTGGTTAACCAGCGGTGGTTCCACCCCGATCATTGACGTTTTCAGTCAAGCGAGCGCCGATATGGTTGATCTTCACCTTTCTGGCGTTTTTCAAGCCCTTAATTCTGAAGAAAACTATCTTCGAATTCAGGTAATGAAATCATCATCTGAAATGTATTTTATCCATGGCTGCTAGTCTAATTTGTCTATTAATATGGTTTAGACACACAAAACAACATTTCTGATACGCTTCGTGGAAACAAAATGCAGGACGATACCCTTCACGGGACAGTATCTTCTGTAGATGTGGCAACAAAGAAAAATTTGGCCAATCTTGTGAAAGTTGGTGAAGGGCTATTGAAACAACCAGTTTCCAGGGTTAATTTGGACAGTGGCAGGTTTGAGGCTTCTAATCATGAGACTAATGCAGAGGCTCTTACAAGGTACATAACATAATTATTTATCTTATATATAATACACACGTATATATTGTAATGATTGTTTATTAATGAAAATTTGGAACTTAATTAATTATGATTTCAGGTTTGCTAAACTACTCTCCGAAGAGAAGCTGCTTCGCCAAGCAAGCAGGTCAACTAATGAGCCTGCTGGAAATACCTACTGATATATATTACCCTATGATTGATGAAGTCATGATTCTTTAATTTAGTAGTGTTTGGAATTGTAAATTGTAAAAAGTTATTGATAGTTCAAGAGTACGTGGGCAAATGCCATCATACTTCATTCTTGTAATATTTGTTCGTGTTCGATTAATCCCAGTTGGGATATCACTGTAACAGATGTATAACATATACATTCTTTCTTTTATTTGTTGTTCAATTATCAATAAAATTAAGCTTTGATTTTCTTACTTATAAATTTCTGTTATTCGTATTCTATTTGGGGTAAATAGAGCTCAAGTGTATTCATTTATTAGTCGAGTGGTGATGGTCATGGTAGTAATGGCAATGTAATGGTCATGGCGAGGGATGATGATTATGGAGTTGTGGAAAGTACGTTGTCTTGGTCAACTGATTTAATCTACATATGTATACATATTTCTATACTACATTTGACAATCTATATATACAACTCATAAGTTGTGATTAAATCAGTAGTATCTTGTGAACAAATTTGTCATGTGATACAAATTATGATTGAAAAAACTCCTCATATTGATTAGTTAAAATCCAATTTACTTTTGTTGACGTTCGATTTCGATTGACAACCAAGTAGTACAAGCCAATGCTTAAAGGAAAGATGCCTAAAAAGAAATTTTAAAATCTCTCCGATGCATATTGTAATTGCATAGAGTGTCGCATAAGGGTTACGTATAAGTTCCGCATAAGAAGTCATTCCGCCAAGACATCATCAGGCCTCCCACAACTTTTATCTCTTCTTCTATCATTCAATTACACAGAAACCTGCATTTTTCTTCAAACCATATCAAAATCCACGAAACCAGTGGCAATTAAGTACTAATGATACAAAATTCCGAATTTTTCTCCTGCCATACATATTTTCCAAAAATCAAATTGGCTGACACGATATTTACTTTTAGTTTGCAGTTTTTTGTTTCAAATACCCCTCGCAAATATGTCCGTATCTTTTCATTAGTTTTGTGGGTGGTATATTTAAAAGGGGAGCAGAGGAATTTGTGGAAGTCGAAGTACTGGGAAGGGCTCATCTGTTGACAAGTTGTTGAAGTCTGTACTCATACAACTAGATGCTTTACAAGAAACCACGGTTTACAACTAAACTATGTATCACTTACAGTTTTATGTTTATGTTTCAATCTTATTTCTGATTTCTTAGTTCCATTGCTGATACTTCATTTCTTTTTTCCGTTGCTTAAGATGCACAATTACCATTTTCAAGTATATGTCATTCTCCTTTATCTTATTGTTGTTGTTGTTAAGCCGAACAATGCAGTCCCACAATTTTAGTCCTCTATTTCAGAAAGTTAGGGTTCCACCATAAAACCAATTGGGAATATATACAGTAGCCTAATTACTTATAAGCAAATGTAATGTCCCTCCTTTCCCTAATGTGGGATTCACTCTCAACATGTATAGTGTGTGGCAAGGTTCCACCATAATACCAATTGGCAATATGGAGAATAACCCAATTACTTATAAGCACATATACAAGGTGCTCCTTTCCCTGACGTGGGATTCACTCTCAACGTCTATCACGTTTTCTTTTATTAACACACATTCGACCTTTTAGGAGTTTCAGAGTGGAATAATGCAATAATGCAAGGCAAAACACTATTTTGATTTCGAAGGTGCACTCAACTACCCTTTTCTGATTTCTTTGATTGCATAATAACAGAATGGTAGGTAGTATATGATGCAACATGTCGATAAAATGTCTGTTTATTGCTCTTCACTGATGTTTTTTTAATAACTTAATCTAGTCTAAAATATGAATTTTGAAATTTTGGATTGTTTTCTGTGAATGAGTTTATCTTAAACCGAATCACTGTTTTTTCTTCTTTTTTCTTTTCTTTACACAACATTTGATTTGGATTGTATAGAAGACACATACGAATGGTGTTCGGCCATGTTTTCTCCCTTTAGTTATGCTTTCAAAGGTATAATTTGAGAGGCAAAACTCAAATTTCCCAGAAAATCGTGTATGCTGGAACGATGCAACAACGATTAAGTATATCATTTTGTGAAATTTCATTCATTTCATTTTCTAACTCTTGATGCTTGGTATTTCAGAGTTTTGTTGGCCCTGTCTCATCTGATAGATGTTTTACTAATTGGATCTACACCAAAAGCATGCCAATTTGTTTTGCTTTGGAAAACAACATATAAATACATGTTACAAGTACCGATATTTTTACGAATCTGGATTTTTTCCCTCGATTTTTTTAGTCACCCATATTTGCATGCATTTCTTCATTCATAGTACAGGTAGGAAATTAAAAATATAAGTGCATCTTGGAAAGACTAACGAATTTACAGGTGAAACTAGGAAATGCAACATGTCAAGAAAAATATCAGATTAGAGTCTTAAGCAGAGAAACCCTTCTTAGATTTCTACAAATTTTATTAGCTATTACAGATGAGGAGAAACGGAGGAAAGTAATGAATTGAGTTGCTAGAGTACCAACATTACTAGAACATTAGAGACACATATTTTCATTAGTTCTTGTTCTCTACAAACTACAACGCTTCTCAACAGCTACGGATGAGAAATTATTTGGGGGAAAAGTTTTGTTGTGCTAGGATAGCACCAAGCCAATTGGAACCAACTCAAGCTAACCCACAGATAATATATCAAATGAAATACAAGAACAAAATATAGAAAAAAGACACCAAGATTTTAACAAGGTTCCTCAACAGTCAGTGTAACTGGAGTACGTTCTCGGAGCAGTAGGAGGTCACCCAATAATCCACTATTAGCCAAATGAGAGTGTTTACAAAGTGTTGGCAATCTCACAACCAAAACCCCAATACACCCAAAAACTCTCACTCACCAAAGAAACAAATAGAGAAAGAAATATAATGATTAATTTCTTCTCTATATAGAGCTCAAAACTATTACAACAAATACAACTTTTAATTGAGTGAGTGCTAACCAAATGAGAGGAGCACACTTTCTTCTTCTCTCCAAAAAGGGGGCTGCGGCACTCCTTTTTTTTTTCTTTCTTTTTCTGCTGCTAAAAAACAAAGGCAGCTGCTGCTGCCAATTAAAACCCTAGCCACAGCCATGGCTTTTCACATGGGCCAAAGAAGAAAGGCCCTTTAAATGGGCTGTTGGGCTTATAAATAAAGGCCCACTACAATTTGGCCATATATTCAACAATCTCCACTTTGGCCAAATTCCCGAAAGCGCCATGATTAGCCAAACAAACATAATCAACAATCAACACAAAACCACTCCCAAAAGTAGCAAGAGAATAACTCAAGTCGAGCCAAAATGCTCCAAAGCTCCTACTGCTCAATGCCTGCTTTATATGGGCAAAATGTGAGCCAAGTTTAAGCAATGAACAAACTTGGCTACACCAACAACCTTAGTCAACATATCAGCCGAGTTGTCTTTAGTTGGAATCTTCTATAAAATGATATCCCTTTCACCAACAACTTCACAAACAAAGTGATAATGCACATCTATGTGCTTGGTCATTGCATGATGAACCTGATACTTAGCCAAATAAATGGCACTCTAACTATCACAATGCAACTCCACCTGCTTCTAATCAACCCCCAAATCTTTGGCAACGACCATATATTCAGCATCTGTAGTGGACAAGGCAACAGAAGACTGCAAAATGGTCCTCCAACAAACTGGCCCTTTAGCCATAGTAAACACATAGCCTGTAGTAGACTTCCTTTTATCCAAATCATCTGAATAATCTGAATCAACATAACCAACTGCAAAGTGACCAATACCAGAGCCATTCTTCTCAAAACATAAACCAACATCTCGAGTACCATGGAGATACCTCAATATCCACTTAGATGCATGCCAATGCTCTTTACCAGGATTATGTATATATCGACTCATTATACCAACTGCATAAGTAATATCCGGTCTAGAGCATACCATTGCGTACATCAAACTACCAATCAAATTTGCATATGGTACATTTTTCATTTGCAACTTCTCTTTATCAGTTTTAGGACATTGTATATAACTCAATTTAAAATGAGGAGCTAAAGGGGTACTAACCGGTTTGGTTGAATCATGAACTCCAAACTTCTGAATCAACTTCTCAAGGTATTGTCTTTGATTCAAGCATACCAAACCCTTCTCTTTATCTCTAGTGATCTCCATGCCAATGATCTTCTTTGCTTCTCCAAGATCCTTCATCTCAAAATCATTCTTCATTTGCTTCTTCAATTTCTCAATCTCTTCGACATTCTTTGAGGCAATCAACATATCATCAACATATATCAACAAATAAATGAAAGACCCATCTTGCAACTTCTTGAAGTACACACAATAATCATATTGACTTCTAGAATAATTTTGCCCTCTCATAAATTTATCAAACCTCAAAAACCATTGTCTTGGAGATTGCTTTAAGCCATAAAGTGATTTCTTCAACTTGCAAAACAAATTTTCTTTCCCTTTCGCTTTGTACCCATTCGGTTGACACATATAAATCTCTTCATTTAAATCATCATGTAGGAAATCCGTCTTCACATCGAGTTGCACAAGCTCAAGATCATATTGTGCAACAAAAGCTAATATAATGCAAATTGAAGAGTGCTTCACAACCGGAGAAAAGCTTTCATTGTAGTCAATGCCCTCATTTTGTGCATACCCTTTAGCAACTAATCTTGCTTTGAATCTCACATTGCTTTTCTCATCAACACCTTCCTTCTTGGCATACACCCATTTGCAACCAATAGCTTTCTTACCCTTAGGTAATTTAGCTAACTCCCAAGTCTTGTTCTTCAAGAGAGAATTCATCTCATCACCCATGACATTGCACCATTTCTCCTTTTCTTCACTCTCAATAGCTTCTTCAAAATTGGATGGAATCTCATTAGTGATAATAGGAAGAGCAAAAGAAACGTAATTACTATATCGAGCTGGCTTGGTAATATTTCTCTTTCCTATGTTCTTGGCAATAGACTCGTGAGGTGAAACTTGCTCTTCATCTTGAAAATAGTCTTCAACTTCAACTTCTTCAACATCATCATGGTTTCCCACTTCTTCACTTGTAGTGGCTTCGACATCAGCGGAAATAGGATTTAAAGTACTAGAGGCAATTTTCTCAAGCTTCACCTGTTGGACATCTTTCACATTATTCCCATAGTCTTTAAACATACTTTCTTCATCAAATGTCACATCTCTACTGATTACAGGTTTCTTCATCTTTGGGCACCATAACCTATAACATTTGACACCATTAC